TGCTTCATAACTCAAGATTTATTTCATAAAAAAATATTTTATTTATGTGTTTTGGAAAGTTCTCGAGGCGTGCTATAAGAACATGTAATGAAAAATTGGAGGTTCCATTTAAAAAATTCAAAATGACCTTGTCCTGACCTTGACGACGCCACTCAGGGCCAAACCAATATTATCATCTTATATCCCCCTCGAAGTCCAAAAACTTTTGTCTGAAAAATTTTTCTCTCCCGGGCTTGATTTTTGAGATATTCGACTGGATGGATTAAAATGGTCCACTCTGTAGATATGCACTAACATACACCATTATATTATTTATTAAGTGTAAATTAATATATATACATATATATATATGTATAATTATCATAATTTACATTTTAATCATAAGCCATTTTTTTCGTTATATTTCTAAAACAGACAATTTATACTATATTTACAGATTAGCCATGGCACAGTTTGTCTTCATAATCGTCATCTTGATTTCGCAAATATCAACTTGTTGGACTATACGAGCAATATTAACCAACAATTACGTTTACGATGGCGCTGAATTGCCATTAAATTATGTGGACGAATTGGTTCGATATCTTTGTAAAGATGATGTGATTTCTTTAAACTTCTCCAACAAAGAAATCTCTGCAGGTATCAATCAAGATTTCATCAGCGGTTCTTTAATTACCTGCCTCAACCTCATGGGCAATATTCAGAGCATTGCGTATGGTGCCTTCAACAAACTTCCAAATTTAACTCATTTGTTCCTTTCGAACAGTAGACTCAGAAGCCAAGATGAATTACTTAACTTTGGAGGTCATAATAAGTTACAAGTTCTTATTATAGATAAGGCAATATATTCGGATATATATTCGGATTATTCGGACTATTATAATCCTCGTGAAGTTCATATTTCTGGCGACTATCCCAACTTAAAAATTTTGTTTTTTCGTAAAATTTGTTTTAGTGATTTGTCTTTTTTTTCATTTCCTAAATTAGAGATATTGGATCTCTCCGGAAACGACATAACAGGAACCAATTTTGTAGAATTCCTACCGAGTAGCTTATACTTTCTTGATCTTCACGATAATTCGCTAAATTCTTTGCATTTAAGCAAAAGAATGAGCAAATTGTTGGCATTGAACTTGAAGAACAATCGTTTCAATTCCATTAAGAATAATGAGTATAGTCTATCAGTGGCTGATTTGAAAGCTCTACAATATCTTTCGGTTTCCGAAAACAAAATTAATAGTATTGACTCAGGCGCTTTCCAAGACAATAACAATTTGCTTTATTTAAATTTATCCACAAATTATATAAATTATTTACATCCAAAGACATTTGCAAATTTGCAGTATTTAAAAACACTTGATTTAAGTAACAACACACTTGAAGAGGTTCCACAAATCTCAAATGAAACAGAAATCAGTGTTTTATATATTAATCATAATAACATAAAGAAAATAATCTCATACGCTTTCGCGCAAATGCCGAAATTGACAAAGTTGTTAATGGGAAAAAATCAAATTGATGAGATTGATATTGATGCGTTCGCATTTCTTTCTATCCTAGAAGAATTAGATCTGTCGACGAATATATTAAGTTTTCTGCCGGATGGATGGGCAAAATCCCTTGTATCTCTGAAATATTTGGATTTGAGCGATAATAAATTCACTTCATTGGAATCTTTATCACTGACTAGTGCGTTGCCAATAACAGAAATGTATTTAATGATGAATCCGTTAGAATATCTGAATGTAAGATATTTTGAAGATTTACCGCAGAATCTTACTATTAACTTAATAAATAAGTCAAAGTTTGCAAAAGTTTTGGCAGGAAATGAAAAGTTACATTATAGTAATTATAGTTTCGTTACTCATTTCGGATAAAGTCAAAAAAGTAAACAAATTACCATTATTATAATTACTGATTCTTAAACTAATTCGCTACCGTTCCCATTTACTTAGAAAGTAACGATTCGTTTTGTTTCTTTTTTAATGCTGAAACAAGAGTTAATTAATCTAAATTTACTTTTGCAATTTTTTTTATGTTAATAAAAACAATATTAATATACGCAATTTGGCTGATATTTTTAATAGTATTTTAAGATACTTATTAACGTAAATATCTTATTAAATTACTAATTAATTTAATTTGTGACATTAAATGATTTATGGATTTTATGACATTCTTATTAAGATGTCATAAACCAATCGCAAAGGCATATTCTTAAATTATTTAAAACAGTCTTAAAATAAGAACAAACTATGAATACTACTTAAAGATTAAATATAAAAAAATTTTGTCATAAATGTTCAAAATACAAAAAGTAACGATAAAAGTAACTTATAATTTGTTGTTACCGAAAAAAATGTAACTATGTTACCGTTACAGTTATAAAAAAAAATAAAATGATCCTGTTACCAATCTGTTACCAAAAAAAAATTGTCGTGGTAACGGCATTTCAAGAAACAAATTACTTTTATTTCCTGAATTCCGAATATTGATATAAACAATAAATAAAAACAAATATATTATGATGGTTAAAATTTTAATACTGTACACAAAAAATGTTATGTTTGTTTAAAAATAATATTATATATAATTACAATTTTAAATAATGGTGTATTCTATGTGGCAACGGAAATTAAATTATCGACATTAAGCAATTTATAAACTGTTATTACATCTTTATGTTAATCTTTAAATTAGTCCTATTACTAATAATAGGAATAATTTCATAAAAATGTAATAAAAAATTTACAAATTGCTTAATGTTAATAATTTAATTTAATAACAATGTGTTATTTATGTTACTAGAATCTTAATAATAATGTGTTATTCGACTTTTGAGTTATTTATACTTACTTATAATGACACTATAAAGATTATAAAAATGTTATGGTTGTACATTATATATTATATGTTATATGTTATAGAATATATAATAAATGAAAAAAGTTTAAAAAATGATTGTTTCTATTGATTAAATTTGTCTCAGAATTTTATATTATTTCCTAACGGTTAAAAATATCTCTCATTTTATTTTACTGTTATAAATTGTTATATTAATTAATATGTTTTTACGTTTGCACATACTTTATAAAAATTTAAAAAAATTTTTTTAATTTATCCAAAAGTTTAATAAATATAAATATAATATAGACAAGATTTAATATTATAAATAAATTATAACAACATATATATTTTTTGATCGCTATCTCTGTATATTAGGGGATGAAGCTCCAATAATCTTGACCTTGACATATGTTGTAGAGAAGATACTCATCAATTTTTCCTTATAAATTAAATGGTGATCTTGTGTAGTTCTTGAAATATAGTTACTTAGAATTTATTTTTTAAATTTTATTATAAAATAAAATAATAATATATGCGAGCGCGCGAAATGTCAGCTCTGTGATTAGCCAACTTTAATCGCTATTAATTTAAAAACTATTATAGTCTCAACCTTTTCATAGGATTTTTATCTTAGAATACTCTAAAGAATTCATACTTAAAAGGAAATCCGAGGGTTTTGGGACACCCTGTATAATGCATATTCATATATAATATATAAAAGAATTTGAAAAGATTTATATTTTGTTAGCATTTCTAAAAAGTATTTCAGTTTGTATATAAATTTGCAAACTTTTTTAAGAAGTATAATTTTATAGAAATTCTAAAAAATTAGAAATAATTGCCAGACAAATGTTTATTAATGTTTCGTTTATTTATATACCTTGAGAAATCTCTGTTTATTCATTTTTATAGTGACATTTACGTAAATTATCTTTTAATTTTTATTCTGTGAAATATATTGGTAATGCAATTATTAACAATGTATTGTTATAGTTTGGTACAAAATATATTTAAATGGGATTCTTAAATCAAAAATGTCTTAATGTACTTCTGTTTTTTATGTAAAATGTCTCCATATTAATTTATGAAATATAAAGTTATTTACCGTTCAATATTATTTAATTAAGGAACATGTAATACGTATGTTTTTATTCTTGCAGGCTATGCCGATTACGATAACTACGATAAGTTTTATTACAATTGCACTTTTGAGTCTGTTTTAATTTGTTGCAATATCAGTACAATTAATTTCGTTTATGCCTTGATACTTCCGCACAGCATTACAGAGTTATGTCACTAGACGAGTCATATAATTTATGCGGGAAAATGTTCGACGGAGATCGATGAGAGGTGTTTCGATCTTTGTTAAAACGTAAATATTGATGTATAGGTTAAATCTATTTGTCAAGTCATATTGTTGTATAAGGTACTTGTAATTTTCATGTAAAAGTTTCCAATAAAATACATTCTATACCGAACTGCAATAAGCTAAATAAAAAGTTTAATTAGTTTTAATTTAATAACTGTAAAAATTAGGTTAAGCTCTATTAAAATTGTTTTTTGACTTTTCATTTGTATTTCATAAGGAAATATTACATAAATGATAATAATCCGTTCAAAATTATCTTATTACAAAATTTAAATGCGGTGCCAAATACATGCGTCCTCTGTATGCATATACAGAAGATTTGATATCAGAATTATCACCAATTTGCAATTGCATTAAAATGTAATATACTATGAAAAATATCTATAGATACTGTTAAAAAATCTGATATGTAGCAATATAAGTTATGTGTCTAGAGGACAATTGTTAATTAATTCACTTGCATTTTTTCTATTAACAAGAATTATTATCAAATACATTTTTCTTAGCTGGTCCGTCTCATTTAGAGAGAAGAAATATTTAGCTTGTAAATAAAAATTTGAATAGACTTACTAATTCAATATATATTATAATTATATTTTAAGTGTAGCAATCGGTAAGACGGAAAGAATAGTTGTTTTATTTTACTGAGGTTTAAGATGTATTCATACTTATATACATATATTAGGAGTGTGATTTAGTTTTAAAGGTTTTGCAAGATAATGGCACTAATGTCGGTGTTGTCGAAGACATTCCAATCAAAGCTATTGTTTCTTAATGCTTTAACATTACTTCATGATATTTAATCATTTATTAACAATAGACGCGGTAAACATCGTGTTTATATCATCTTAAAAATGGAGTTTCGTAAACGGCATTTTCATCCTCATATTGCATTATTAGTGAAGCAAACGCTATTAAAGTTAAAATGGGAAGTTTTATCGCACCCCGCTTATTATCTCTTGTTCCGATTGATACAACATATACGCTCTAGAGGATATGCACTTTCATAATTTCGAAAAAATGCGAAAAGTTGAAAAAATTGTATCAATTCCGAAGAAAAATATTTTTATCATCGCGGAATCCATCTCTTGCCAGAAAAAGTTAAAGAAAACGAAGGGAAATATTTTGATTACGGTCATTAAGGTATTCGTATAATAAATCAATTTTTGAGAAAAAAATCCCTCAAAACTAATGCATACTAATATTATAAAATAATAGAAACGTACGCTAAATCTTGCATTGAATTTTATTAGACTTCGGTTAAATTGATTTGAAACTGCATCGCTCTGTAATTATGCCTTAGGTTTCGTCCGGATGGAGAAATAATTGTAGTAGTGCGCCTGAGCACGTTTAGCCAACAGAATTCAAAAAATACCACTTAAGAGAAAAAAAATCTTTTTTTTTGTTTATCGATGCGCCTAGCAACTCCGGCGCGCGCAGACGTAAACATCTTCATTGTGTTTCTGTTCGCGTTAGCCAACGAATTTTTCGTGTGTCTCTTCAAGAAAATTTGCCTTTTTCTTTTGGATTCTTAGTTTCGAAATGCCGGGTTCGCATCACCGAAGTCGCTCAAGATCTAAGGATTATCGACGTCACAAAAAACGCTCCCATGTTCACAGGAGAGTTCGCAATAAGTTGCGTTCTCGTTCTCGTTCTCGAGAGATTAGCCGATCCTCTTCCGATGATCGACCACGACGAGATTCATCGAGGGCTTCCTCCATGCTTCGAGATTCAAGTCTCCTTGAGCAGATCTTTGCAGCGATCCAGACTCAAGGCCAAAAATTATCCTTACTCGAGGGCGAGATTAAGGTATGTTCGATGCGTTTTCCTGCTTCTCAGTCACATGAGGTGCCGACGACTCTCGAGAGTCGGGGCTCTGAACCAGGTAAGCCCCCTTGTCGACCCTTTTTTCCAGTACCGCGTTATCTGCGGTTTGCGTATCGTGCTCTGTGAGAGCTGATCGAACGCTGAAAATTGGCAAAGAGGGGGCTTGACCGACAGCTCCTCTGCGACACCAATTCTTATGGCTATCCTTTCCCCCCTCCTTTTCAGCCGTAGCGTCAGATCCTATGCATCATGAGGTTACCTTCGCGCCTCCAGACGCTGAACAAGATGAGGTCCCTTTGCTTGCCCGTCAGCTTTTCCATACGCAGGAGGACTCTTTGAATCGTTTTGCGTGGGACCAAGTTATTCTTGATTTTGCTATTGCCACTGTCTGTACGGGCCTACAGGAGGATTTACGCTCTCAATTGATGGCAAAGTTCGAGGTCAAGGATGAGCTTTCAGCGTTAGGCCCACCTAAGCTTAACAAATTACTTCTCCCGGCTCTGAAAGCCTCTTCAACGGTT